TTATTAATTTTGTGAAGATGATAACTCCCTCTTTGTGGACAGATTGCTATAATGTTCTATTATCTGAAACAAAATGCAATTTGTTCTCTACTGTAGACCTCTAGGCTTCAATTTAGTCTTACTCACTTTATAATGAAAATAAACTCATATTGACAGTGCATCCAAAGCTGAAAAGAAGGAAATGATATCTGACATACAGTTACAGCTAATAAACAGAGCTGAGAATAATATTAACCAATGAAGGTAACTAAGAAACACAGCAAAATGTGTTGTTGAGTTTTACTCTTTGGCTCTTTGGATCCTTTGGGAGACCTGCCACCCAGCTCCCAAATAAATCACACAGAGAATATTATTCTTTCTTATAAATGACCACCCCTAGCTTTGTCTGTTTCTAGTGAGCTTTTCTTAAATTACCCCATCTGCCTTTGCCTCTGGGCTCTTTTCTTTTCTTAATTTGTAATCCTACTTTCACTTTTACTCTGCATCTATTTGTGTGGCTGGGTGGCTGTATCCTTCTTTTCTCATACCTTGATCTCTCTTTCTTTCTCTCTTTTTCTCCCTCTATTTATTCTCTCTGCCTGCCAGTCCTACCTATCCTTTATCCTGCCTTGCTATTGGCCACTTATCTCTTTATTAGACCAATCAGGTGTTTTAGGCAGGTAAAGTAACACAGCTTCACAGAGTTAAACAAATGCAACATTAAAAAAATGCAACATATCTTTGTATCATTAAAATAAATGTTCCACAGCATTAAAAAATGTAACGCGTCTTAAAATGATATTCTACAATAAAACTATATTCCTACTACAAATCCTAATGGTCTTCTTGATTTAACAAAAACCGCATAAGTATGCCAATGAAGTTTCAAAATTTTATTCAAATCCAGAATTCATTAATATCTGCTAGTTTCTTGCTAATTTTGTCACTAGACAAAAGAAACAAATAACTTACATTCCTGGTACTGAAATCACTAAAATGAAACAGGACAAGGGGACATCTGATTTCTTATGGCTAGGTCTACTGTAAAAACTAAGATGCTAGAAGAAGCTTGAGTTTAATGTTATAGATTAAGCTACTGAACCAACAGTCCAGAAGCTAACTACTATAAAAGTATTTATGGATATTGAATAACTTTCATAATTTTAATGGAAGAAATCACAGTTGGAACCTGTGTCATATTAAGCATACACAAAGATAAAGTTATAGGTACCACGAAGATGTGTGTATGAATATATATATATATATATATATATATATATATATATATATATTTGGAATTAAGGTTTCCAAAAGGTCACTAGTAATTTCAGAGCAGGGGCCCTGCCAAGAGCAATCTGCTCATGATTAACAAGACACAGTTGGTTATTGTGAGGAAAGTCACTGGAAGCAGAAACACCAAAGCTCCACAGCAGCCCATTTGTCCCCACTATTACTCATTCTTCCTTTCCAAAGTGGTCGCTGCCCAATGAAGGAGACATCCAAGCGACTGGCACCTATGTAAAAATGGATTAAGAGCTACTAATAGTAAAATACCTCATAATGATTTTATTCTGAAGAAGATAAATTAAAGGAAGATAGAAACACTCTTAAATGCACATCAAAAAGAAACAAAAAACAAAAACAAAAAACAAAAAAAGGAAAGGAAATCACGGGTGAATACAGTGAGAGAGGTAAGGCTGAGCCTTGAAATTTCACCTGTCTGTAGTGTTCTACTTTATCTGATTATCAAATATGGTTTACAAATTCAATTTTTCCTTTTATGATATGTACTGTTTTGTGTCTAACCAGTTCTTAAAGCTTGTGATGCTGAAGTAGCCTCTCAATCATTAAAGGATGTGTCTTGCTAACATATTGTCTCATCAAAATCATAAAAAGATTAGTGTGAGGCCTTTTTTTAAAAAGGGGGAGGGGAAGTGTTCATAAAAAATCAGAAAATTGATTTTCTTTTCCATCTAACATGCTGCCTTGTGGATAAAAAGCAAGCCAGACTGGAGAATCAGTTATTGCCAAGCCTGTCTGCATATAGCGACCACTTCTCCCTGTACTGCGGGAAAACATTTCCACCTAGAGTCCTTTCCCAGAATATCTGGAGACCAAAGGAAATCAGCCGTAATGACTACCAGAGCCAGATCATAATCAGTTTTTAATTGAAGCATCAAGCCAATTAATTTGTGACAACTTCCTATCAGTTCTGATTCTACATGTGAAGTTTCATAGGACCCAGGCCATTTTGGGCTCCAAAGCATCCCTGGAAGAGTTCAATATTTGGTCCTTTCTAAAACAGCCTGCACTAGGGAGAAAATATTTTAGAGATGGTGCCTCAAAACTTAATTCGAGATTGCAGAGCAGAGTCACTTGTTTGACTCAATAAAAGTTTATGAAACACAAAACATTTTAGACCTCAAACATGATTTTTAATATAAAAAAGATCTTTTGCCTTAAATGTGTTTCAGAAAGACAACTGAACCCTAAATTTCACTTTTTTTCAGTTAATTCTACAAATACATGCTGTGTATCTGTATATGCAGGTAACTATGTAGACTGGTAACAATCATTGTGTTTGTCACAGAATTTCTAAGGACAGTGCATTTTAAGAGCTGGCTATTTTCCTGGGACCCTGGTAAGGTATTTAATCCCCTGAAAAACGATATAGATGCTCTCTGGATGATGGTGTGTAACAGTCTGCAATATAAAGCATCAATATTTTTTCTAGCCTCCATTGACATTAAAATACAGCTATTATATGAAAAATTAACTTCCCTATATAGATTTATCAATGGATAAATAACGGATGTCTTCCACACGAATGATAACTAAACCATTTCATCATCAACAGTCAGTTGCTCCACTTGAGAACTTTAAAGTGAAAATACCTGGTACTATCCCAATGCATACGCTGGCGTTCAGCATCAGGAAGTTCTTCAGTTTTGTCTGCCTCAGACTTCAGAGGCATTGCAAGTACTATACACTAATAAAGAGGGTGAGAGCACCCATACAAAGATATCTTTAAAAAAATGTTAACCATGGCTTCTCAGTTCTGAAAATCAGGTTTTCCTCTCATTTTCATCGTGTGTCCTGGTATATCATAACTGCTAGATCTTGGCTTTTATTTATTATTCCAAGAACATACAATGATCAAGCTATTTTTTTTTCCTTTCTGGAGTGTAATTCCGTTAGAGGGTTAATATCACGAGAGGTGTAACAACCACCCTAATGCACTCTAAAATTGAGTTAGAGTAGAAAATGACCACATGTGAGAAGCCCAAACTCTACACAGCACACTGGAAAATGTATCTCTAGCATTGTGACAGACACACAGTAATCTCTTTAAGTATGCACAATATTCTAAATAGCCATTTACTTTTCTGTGGGTTATACACAACAATCAAACATATCCAGTGGCCACCATGGCCAAGTCAGTACTTAGCAGAGATATTCGTTAGTGCATTGAACATACTGGAAAATATCAGGAGCACTGTGAAATGTGGAAAGCCTTGCTTCATCAATAATCTGAACTCAAAGCTATTTCCCAATACCCCCCCCACACACACACACACACACACCTTCCCAGGAGCCTTAACTTCACCCTCGTTCTGCCCCATGATATTCTGGCCATGACTTCCTACTTATCTTTTCTTCCCATCTCCAAGTCATTCAGCAGCTCTGCTCTGTTCTCAGAGGCAGTCCCTAGGGCAAGGAGCTCAGTAAAATGCTGAATGGGGCGACTCCACCAGCAGGTGAAGAGGAAGGGGGGGGGGAAGGCAGAGGGTGTGGTTCTCTCTTTTGTCACCACACCCCATCTCTTGAGTCTTGCACTCAGGGTCCACTGCGGCTCAGAGGGGATCTAGCAGATCGCCTTGCTGAGCTCCTAGCAGTGAGTGACGGAAAGCCATCATGCACACACCATCACCACCAACAACAAAAAAATTAAGAAAAAAAATATTAAAAATAAACACAACCAAAACTTGCCCTTAAAGGAAGCAATTGTCCAGAGTAGCAGGGGAAACAGGGATTAGTTCGAAGGCACAGACCCCAGAACGTCAGAGAGAAGAAAAAAAGGAACAGCAGACAGGGACCTCACAGATTACCCCCACTCTTCCCTGGATGCCAACTGAATACCAGCCCAGAGAATTTCCCTAGAACAGGAGTAGGGTTGGAAGTAGAGATAGGCTTTACCTCCTGGGCTGCCCTCAGAGCGCTGACTATTGTTGCCTCCCCGAAGTGGCTCTGGATCCCAGCACAGCTTTCTAGAGCACAGCCTGGATTCCGGCTCGGGTCCCGGCGACGGGGCGCCAAGCTAGCAGGAGCACGGAGACTCGGGCTCAAGTCCACCGACCAGTCCAAGTTGGACCCCCCTCTGCAGCGCCGCCTCGGCCACCCAGCGGGCACGCTCTCTGCTCGAGCTGCCCCTCGTCTCCCGGCACCCCCACACCCACCCGCTCCGCCGAGCCCGATGGGAGCCTCTAGCGGAGGCCAAGCGAAACGCAGCCGACCCGCTGCGCCCGGGCTCCGACGCCGGCTGCAGGGAGAGGACTCGGTGGCTGCTTGGACTCCCAGATCCCCGCATCCCGCCCGCCTACTCCAGCCTCGCCAGCCACCCAATCTACTTCCTGACCAGGGCCTACAGCTCCCTATCGCAAAGAGGGAATCGGTGTACGGGGCTAAGGAAAAAACCTCTCCAGAATAGAAAATAAAAACAAAACAGGGGCCAAGCCCAGATGTAAATCAACCTGGACAGAGGAACCAGCCCCAGATGCAATTCCCAATAGGTATCCAGAAGTGTGAGGATAGGAGACTCCCTTATGCCGCCTGGATCTCAACCATCTGTACTGGCTGGTCCTCCACTTGCCTGCTTGGAGCCATTCGCGCGGGTTGTGCAGCTGCGTGGCAACAGCCAGGGGGTTCCGCGTAACTTGCCTTAACCCCCACCGTATCCCCCCCCAAATGTATTTTAAGTTATTCTCTCTGGAGATTCAAGCAGCGGGTTTGTCGTCTCTTACCTTGAGATGCTGTTGGTGGCCCTTCGTGTCCTTAAAATCCAAAGCCAAGGAGGATGAAGCGTACTGGAGTCCGGGGTCTCCTTCCAGGCGCCCCCCTGTCTCAGCTCTCTCGGCGTTTTCTTTCACAGGGGCCAGGGAGGAAATGTTGGATTCTAAAGCCCTGGCAGCCAAGGCATCTCTAAACCCTCATGCCTGTTGTGACGGAGACAGGGACAACCTCGGTGGCAGTGGAAACCTCCCCTGTTCCTGCTCAGGCAACTTGGCTGCGGATCCAGTTTTCTTCTGTGACCCCACAAATGCGTTGGGCAGCCAAGCTGTGTATTCTGTCAAGAGCCTAGGCTTCTTCTGTCTCTCTCCACCGCACCCCTCCCCCTGCTCCCGCCAAGTAGGAAAACCTGCGCTCGGGCGGGTTCGGTGCGGAGCAGGTGCCGGCAGGCAGTAGAGCCACGCCGAGGATCGCCCTCCACCGCGGCGTCTTGGCTCCAGCCGCTGCGCCCAGGCGTCTCTGCCAAGGAAACTTTGAGTGGAGGTCGTAATGGGTTAGGGGCAGATGATGGGAAGACCGGTGAGAAGGCTGAGTAGCTGGAAAGGAGGGACACCGGGCAGGCGGCGGGCTGCTGGGTCCCGGCGGCCACACTCAGCGCGCGGACTGCGCGCACACACGCCCGGCTCACAGGCACCGCTCACATGCACACCCCCGCGCGCGCGCCCCAACACGCACGCCCAGCTTCACGATCGCGGCCACAGGCCACAGGCGAAAACTAGAGGCGAGCCCGCACCAGGGGTTACGAGAATGAGAAGCATGGTGACATCGTACCTCTTTTCCAGTTAACCGAGGCCTCAAGTCTACTTTACCTTCTCCTGTCTCCCCGCCCGGTCTCATATCTCCACTCCTAGCTCTTCCCGGCGGTCAGCTCTTCTCCAGGAACCCTGAACCCCGAGATGGCAGGACTTCAGATCCTCTAACCATCTCCACCCTTCAGGGTAACCAGCGCCCCATCTTCAGTGGAGAACTGAAATTCGCGCAGCACCTCACCAAGCAAGGGGCTCCCAGACATCCTTTGAACGGAAGAATTTTGACACCATATCCTGGACAGAATCTCCTCGCGACATTCCCTCGTTCCCATTCCATAACTTTGTCTCAAAGAGCTACCGAAGTTCACCTAGATGGTTTTGCAAAGAATTGACCAGGAACTTGTGTTGGCCAGCTTTTGGATCAGGACTAATTTCGGGTTCTATACGTTTATTTAAAAACTGGATGGTAGTGAGCCAAAGAGTCAGCTGTAGAAAGAGGAGAGACTAGAAGCCTGGAGGGAGATCCAGCCCATTTCATTTCCCTTTCCAGTATTTTGGCAGAAATAGTGGTGTAGTTCTCCTTGTAGTTCCTGTGGCAACTGACGCTGCGCTCAAGGCAGGGATCCCCTTCTACTGCGCAGCTGGGCGCGCTAAGCCAGATCATCTTTTCTCTTTGAAGCAGTCAGAGATCCGCGACGAATCCATGCTCTGGAATTTGTCTTACCTGGACTGGAGAGCAGGAGTTTATTGCTAATGGGGGAAAAGAAAGGAAAGTAAACTTTTGCCACGACGGTTTCTTTGATTATTTTATTTTGTTATTTTATTGCGAGCCCTGATTCTCCTTCATGCTCCGCGCTCAAGTTCGGCAAAGCTTTACTGCGATTATTCCGCTTCCCAAGTACTGGAAAGGCTGAGTGGCTCCGCATTTTTCTCCCAGGCTCTTCACGAAATCTCTGTGGATATGGCAGAAAAACGAAAAGTGATGCGGCATAGAGATGGCGCTAGGACCCTTTGCAGGAGGGATGTGCGCCACTCCCCGCTGTCTCCACAAGAGCGTCTTCTCTCAAGATCCAGGGTATTTTGAGTGGTCCTCTTCCAGTTGAGTTGCCAGCTAACTGACTGAGGATGAGAAAATACAGTATTTGAGCGCTTGGAGGAGGAATTGTGGGTTGCCGAAAGTGGAAGGAAAGAGGATTTTGAGCAACAGAAGAAACTTAGGTTGGTAGGAGGTGCACCAAAGGTAATCATTGCCTCAGTAGCAAAGCATAGCAAGGTAAGCTTGTAGCAGCATTCAGGGCTCCCAGCATCATCCCAAAAGCAGGGGTGCAGTCTGAATTTCTTGAGTGAGTGGCCTTTAGAGCCTGTGTGAAAGAACCAGAGAGAATCACTTTCCGAGATTCTTGTTGTTTTGCGGGGATGCTGGATCCTTGGAAACTGTCCCTAGAAGTGAACTAACCACAAGCCATTTGCTCTGCTGCCCAAGGAGAGGCACCCACAGAGTCTGAGTGTTTGAATTAAATGCTATTTTCCTTCTGGTGCTTTGAAAGCAAGTGTTAGAAGCCAGTCAGAGGAGCCTAGGAGAAAAAAAAAAGTGTATTCGGGAGAAATGCTAAGCAATTGAAATTAAGAATGCATTTTATTTAGTTCTGACATGCTAAGATGTATTTTGGACACGGATAGTTTTGCAGCATTTCAAGTGAGGGATATTAAGATGGTTTTGAACTTGGTGCTATCTATTCATTGTCTCCTGGTCATAAGATTTGGTACTTCTTGAGTTGTAATTGTTTTCCGTCTTTAATAAGTAGCTCTTGTGAACTGGAGTGGAGCTAAAAATTATAATAAACAATTTCTAACATAAGGCAATCATTACATTACGGTTTTATTGTATGGACCTCTCAATTAACAAAGGATGTGGATTACAAAAATCGAATGATCCTCTTGCTGAAAGAAAATTCCCTGCTGTTGAGCAGACTCCTCTCCAGGAGGGACCTGGACTGGGATGATCTTCCTGGCTGTTGTTGACATGCAAACTGCTACTGATGCCTCCTTTCAAAAATAAAGTAGGTCATTTACATGTACACTAAGTGGATTGTTCCAAGGGTGCCACACCGTGCCCCCCCCTCCATTTACAACAGGATAAACACCTCATCCTCTATCTACAGAACTGAGTGAAAGGGTTGAAACTCAAAAGCACTGTCAGATCCAACTTATTGCAGCTTCAGACTATGACTGCTGCATCCTTCCATCCTGGGTGTTTCTTCTTATCCGTTGAGAAATGAAAGTCGTCTTCAGTATAGGTGATATCTCTCTTTCAGTGGAGCCTGACATGTCCTCTATATTCTTCAAGGTTAATGTAATTTACTAATGGCATTCACTATCTCAGAAGCAAAGCATTTATCCTGTTAGTATGTAACTTCGTTATAGATTAAAGTTATCCCTTAATTACCAATATACCTTTCCTACAGCATGGTGCATAAGGAAAGCAAGAACGGTGACATGCATGTTAGAGTGTTCCTTGCTGCCTATGAAGGATCCCATACAGAACAAACCTGAGGCACGGGGTGACAGCACAGTGACAAGCGAAGCTCTGCCATGTGGATCATGTACAATTCAGTGATGTTCCGTGTTCTCAGATGACAGTGACATTAGTGCTCATGCAGATTTGCCAAAGGTAACAAAGATATCTTGCCAAAAATAAGCATGAAACCCATATCTGCCTTAATTTGAAGGCTGTAATCTTAACTTACTTGGCTCAGTTAAATCATTCATGAACAAACATTTTTAGCTATTCACGGCTAAAGGGAATTTACATATTTTTATGCAGGATAAAGTAATATGATAATTTATAATAAAGTTCATTTTAGGCAATCTGGCTTGTATATATTTGTGTATAGAAATATTGAAACAGTTAACATTTTTCCACATTTTATTGAAAATAGTTTTTTTTTTCATACACTAATTCTGATTGTGGTTTTTTCTTCCAAGCTCCTCCCACATCCTCCCTACCGCTGCTCCCACACAAATTCACACCTTTTCTTTCTCTGTCTCATTAGAAAATAAACAGGTCTCCACAAATAATAAGAAAATAAAATAAAAACAAACCTGGACTAGGAAAGAACAAATAAACAAACATTTTAGCATTAAAACATGATTATATGCCTGACTGTGACTGTACACGCCTTTAATCCCAGCACTCAGGAAGAAGAGGTAGACAGATCTCTTGAGTTCGAGGCCAATCTGGTCTACAGAGCAAGTCCCGGGACAGGCTTCAAAGCTACAGAGAAATCTTTTGTTGAAAAACCAAAGAATAAAAAAATAAAAAGTAAGATTATATTTTATTTGCATTATTCCACTCAAAATAATAAATGCTGATTATAAATTGAAGAGATTAGGGCTCAGGACACAATGGATTTACAGTTCTAAGTAACTTTTAATTTTTTCATATTGCTAGCTATATGTGAAAATTAAGAGAATACTATGATAAATTTTCAGTTATGTCAATGAATTATAACAATGTGGCTGGAAAGGTTGTTCAGTGGTTAGTTCCAACCCAAGGTGATTGAACACCCTCTTTTGCCATCCACGGGTACATACATTGACATACCCATAATCATATAGAGACACACATAATTAAAATTAATAAAAACATATCTTTTGATGAAGAAAATTTTAGAAATATATCATTTAGTGTTTACAGTTAAAAGAATTGCGAATGCAAAAAAATTGCTATTTTGTTGATGATGAATCTCATGCAAGGTATTACTACCACATTTTTAAAGTGTTAAAATTTAAAGGATTCAGGGTGCATATGGTATTGAATTTTAGTGACATGTGAACATGCCACAAAAAATGTACCTGTCATTTCCATTGGCCCATATTGTATAATATTCTCCAAATATGTATTAGTGTAGTACCATTACATTATGCTTATATTTAGACTATGCTGCTACAGGCAAAAAGATAAAAAAGTCATCATATTTATCAATGTCTCTGTGGAATTTTTAGGTGAAAACAGACAGATGAAGTAAGGTGTTTTCTTTGAATATTAATAAAACCTTCTGGGGCTGTGGAATAAAAGGACAAAATGTGGAGGTAGAGGTGGGATGTTTGCCTAGCTTAGCTTGTAAATGTGTGGAAGTTTTGGAAATTTTACCTTTAAAAAAAGGATCTTTTAGGAGAGTCATGGAACAAAGAACATTTTGCACTTATCTCATCCTTTACATTTAGGGAACCGATTTAAAAGAATGGATGGAAGTTTTGTGAAACATTTTCCCATCTACCTTTTATCAGGTGCAGTGAAAACTTTCTGATAAACCTCTCCACAAATGCAACAATTCAAATCAGACCAAATAGAACTGAATTAGAAAAAGCCCAGGTTTAATGGATACAAAGGCTCCCCGATGGCTTTCCAGTCCCCCAGAAAAGGAAGATCAGAAAACCACATATTTGTTCTCTGGGGGGCAGTTTAAATACCCT